TTAGCTAATTTCTTGCTGCAAACCTTTTTTTGTTGTTGTTGGAAATGATAGGGTAATACTGTCAGTAGAAATAGCTAACCTCCGTTGAATGCTGTGTACCAGGCTCTGTTCTAAGCGCTTTACATATATTATGTCATTTACTCCTTTGCAACAAGCCTATAAGGTAGGTACTATTATTGTCTCCACTTTGTAGATGAGAAAATTAAGGCATAGGGAGGTTAAGTAACTTGGTCAAGATCATAAAGTGAATAGTAGTTACTTTGGAAGGGTCTTTCAGTATGTAGTAGGCTAGTTTGTAGAGGGCCTCAATATGCCCTAACCCCCTTTCCTTCCTCTACGAGGTGATATTTCTGTTACGTCTTATACACAGGGCTAGTATTATGTGTGACTCTTTGGTGCTGTGGAATTTTGTAAACTCCAGGAAGGCCCTCTGGCTCATCATTATGCTCTTCCCACCAACATACGCCTTCACAAAGCAGGCTGAGTGATCACTGTAAATGTAAATCAGATCTTCACCACCTCGTTCTTTTTTGGGTTCCATCCATTCTGTCACATCTCTGCTCATATCTCACCTTCTCAGAGAAGTCCTCCCTGACCAGCCTATTTAAAATAACCTCCCTCACACCTACCTTTCTTTATAGTGCTTGTCACTCTGAAATGTTTTATTTATATACTGTCTTCCCCATTAGAATATTAGCTTCATAAGGGCAAAGACTGCTCTTTTAGTATCTAAATAAATTATATATATTTTCTACCATTCTTTCCAGCCCTCCTCTATAACTGGAAACTAACACTTCTCTCCCAGCTCACTTGCCTCCTAATATATTGATTATTGAGATGAATTCTGGGCATACTTCTTACTCCTTTAATACCTTCTCTAAGCCACTGTTCCAGTGTCATCTTTGAAATTTCCCATTTATACCACCCTTTCCTCATCCTTGTACTCTGATAAATTTCCAGGATCCCATTCCTTCTTCCTTGATGATTATAATTTGTGGCTTTCAACCTTCTATCCTGACTTGATGATACTTTTAACACCAGGTCTTTCTTGTGTTTTTCAGCTCTTATCTTTAGCTATCCACAGGCATGGTCAAACCTTAGAATCATCACTGGAAATTGTTTTGCCTCTTTCATGAGCTCTGAGATTCTTCTTTTGACTTAGAGGCAACATTTATATACAGCCCTTACCTGTTAGTACCATTCTCTAATTCAGCCTTCCTCAAAGATTTGTGTGTATCAGAATCACCTGAAGAGACTTAGCTGAAGCCCAGAAACCTGGGTCTAACCCTCAGATTCTCATTCAATAGGTGTGATTTGATGCCCCTGAATTTGCATTTCTGTCGCCTACGCAGGTAATGCTGATGCATTTCTGGGGACCTACATTTTAAGGAACACTGCTCTCATGAATACTTTCCCCCAAAGGATGAATATCAAAACTTTCCACTCTGCCTCAAGCTTCTATTTCACATTCTTACTTTATTTTCTATTGATGACTTCTAGAATTACTTTAATGAAGTAAAGGCTTTCTGAAGAGAGATTTCTCATATTTTCTTTTGTGGAAATGAGAATTTTCCTCTTTATCTTTTTTATTTTATTCTTTCCTTCAATGCCATTCTCTTCTACTTAGTTTGTCTAATTTTCTCCTGTTGATTTTTGGCTCCTTTAATCAGTTAACATTCTTGTATCTTGGATTATCAGTTTCTCCTTCTACAGGAAATTAGCCTTTTCCCTCAACTTCTAGATATGATCAAATAAACCTCTTCCCTCAAAATATTGTCCCAGTTACCTCCCGTCTTCTTCCCTCTACCAAATTTGGTTGTTAGAAAAGTAATGGCTTAACTCCTTTAGTAAAAATATTTTAATTTCTTATAATCTGTTTTGGTTTCCAAAGCTTCACTGGATAGCCCAGTAGCTCACTGGTCACGTGACTCTTGGTCTTCAATGCAGAGCTCTCTCCCAGCCTTTGCAGCATATGATATTAGTTTCTTTGACCTTTTAAAAATTTCCTTCCTTTGCTTTTTAGTCACTGTTTTTTAAATGTTTTCATGGTCCTGACTCCTTCTGTTCTTGTTCACATAATACCCTTTAGTCTCTCTCTGCTTTATCTTGAAACTTGAAATGCTTTTTTCACCATCTAAATCTGTGCTTTCCACAATAGGAGCCATTAGCTGAATGTGCCAGTGAGCACTTGAAATATGGCTAGTTCACGCTGAGATATTATGTAAGTATAAAATACACACGGAATTTTCAAGATTTAAGATGAAAAAGAGAATATAAAATACCTCACTAAAATGTTTAATTTTAATATATGTTGATAATATTTTGAATATACTGGGTTAAGTAAAAATATTACTAAAATTAATTTTATCTTCTTTTCAAATATGATTACTACATTTGTGGCTCAATTGTATGTCTGTTAAACAGTGTTGTTCTAAATTTTGTATTTCCTTAAAGATCCCCAGGTTAGTTTTCCATCTACTAATATACATTTCCCTTCTGACTTACAGTACCAGCCATCTGGAACATTTATTTATGCCCCATTCTGCTCATTAGATACTAAGCTTCTTCAGAGTCAGGATAATTCTCCATAGTTCCTTTCATTGGTTGGGATGTAGATATAGATACAGAGACAGAGGTAGAGATATGAAAAATATATGTACACACACATATGAATAAATAACTTGGCTAATATTAACCACTTTATCAAAGAGGTTACTTATGGTAGATGATACTTATTGTGATGTTTTTGCTTAATGTCATGGGGAGTAGGCGAGGTTGATGTGAATGGGAGGAGAGACATTACTGTACTCTGAGATATTAGAAATCTGACATGTACTTTTCGCCAAGTGTAGCCAGCCACCCAGGCCCCTGAGTTCTGAACTGTGCTGTTGTGATTTTACCGCCATCTGGTGTCAGGATTAGGAAAGTAGTTCAGCATTTCATCTTCCCCCTAGAGAAAGGAGGCAGTCTTTCCTCCCAGTGTGGGCCTGCTCGTATCCATCCCCAGAGTGAGTTAACAGTCAGAACTCATTTAACTTCACTGTACAAACCGTTTATATCCCTCCGTGGAGCACTCTTTCCTTGGCTTCCCTGGTAACTCCTGTTTCTGTAGCCATTCTCTTTCATTCTTCTTGGAAAGCCCATTTCTCTCTGAGTGTGGTGGTTTTCTAGCCCTAGATTCTGGGCCCTCTACTCTTTATATCCTTTGTTTTCATCCATATTCAAGGTTTTAAATAACTGCCTATTTACAGACAAATTTGCGGTTATAATAAAAAATGTCTTCTGATCTTGACTTCAGTTGCCCACCGAGATGCTACATTAGCATTTCAAATTTAACATGTTCAAGTGTAAGATGTGGATCCTCCACCCCATCCCGATTTGTTAAATCCATCTTTCTCACTTTAATAATCCATCATGCCAGAATTCTGGGGATGAGCGTGACATTCCTGCTACTGACACTTAAGTCAGGCATGTACCATGTCCCATTGAGTCCTGCTCCTGTCATATCTAAGCTATCACTGTCTCTTGCCTGGACTGAGTTAACTCCCTGCATGCACTCTTGATTGCATTTACATGTTTTATGTTTTTTGTTTGTTTGCTTGTTTTTTAATAGCCTTTCCTAAAAGCTTGAGTTCCGTGATGGGAAAGACTGCATACATTTGGTTCACCATTGGGTACTTAGCACCTGGTACAGTTCCTAAAACCTGTGTAATACGTATTATATAGCCACTCTGGCTCTCAGTGATGTTGTTATGACTCCTGTAGTTTTAGCGATTGAACTTGAATATATTAGAATCGCTTTAATGCTTTATTTAGTATTAGTATTTCGTCTGAGTTTCATCATGTGAGCTTTAGCTATTTTCCCTTTTTGCCTAGAGAAACTTCAGTGTATGTATGACGGCAATATATTTTGGGTATTAATCAGCTAATGACAACAACCTACTGGGGACTGCCAATCAATATGCTGAAATTGTTATCTGAACATTTGAAATTTCATGTCATTTATTTGTCTCTTAGCATGCTTCTGTCGGAAAATTAAAGTTCTTTAATTTTAATATGGAGGTACATTTGCTAAATCTTCAATTAAAATCCATTTTACTCCAAGTATTCTTTTAAATAGAGGCTCAAGCTTTGATAGTTTCATTTAATAACTTTGGATTTGCTTTGATGTTTTAAAGATGGTTTTGCTTTACAAAGTTTTACTACCTGGGGTTACTTTCTGCTTTTTGTTAATGATGTTCCTTAATAAAGAATGTTAATTTGTAAACGTAGTGATGATTTATAAAAGTTGGTTTTTGGAGATGGGCAACAATCTGTATACTAAGGATACAAATTCAGAGAGCAGGGATTTAATAGGTATATACCAGGGTTTCTCAATCTTTTCATTATTAACATTTTGGGTTGGATAGTTTTTTGTTGTGTGTGTGTATATCGGAGCTGTCCTGGGCATTGCAGGATTTTAGCAGCATCCCTGCCCCCTACCCCCCAGCGGTACCCCCTCCTCTCCAGTTGTGACAACAAAAATGTCTGTAGACATTGCTAAATTGTCATGTGGGGGGCAGAATCGCACCATTGGAAAATCAGTATATACTGTACTTACAAGGGGATAAGAGGCCATGGAATATCTCACTCGGGAAGTCTTTGGCATCCTGTGGGTATCTGGGAGAGTATGATAGCTGTGTGGTATATTGTTAATGGCAAATAGAAGCAGAGACTTTCTGACTATTATGTTTTTCACGTTTTAAAATTTCTGTGTTTGCTTAGAATAAAGTAACTTTTGCACTTAACCACCTGGGTCTTTTCCAAATTGAAAAAATGAAGTGTCCGAAAGCATATTTCACAATCAAGTTTCACTTTGTGGACTGACTTCAGAAGTTAGGTGGTGGTAGAAAAAGGGAACCAAGATTACTACATAAAGAGTAGCTTGTAATCAGAATGTTTGCCATTTGTGTTTGTAAACAGTGTACAGGATGTGATTAACTTCTTTTCTCTGTTCAAAGGGACACGAGGGATGGCTTTAGAAGAAAAAGTTTCTACTCTTCTTATGTGAGAGAGCGGTCTCCTCATAAAAGAGAAAGTTCTTTTCTCAGAGACTCACCTGTAAGCCGAAAGGAGTCTCCACACAGCAGATCTGGCTCCAGTGTCAGCAGTAGAAGCTACTCTCCAGAAAAAAGCAAAACGTACTCTTTCCACCAGTCTCAACACAGAAGTACGTACTTTTAAGACTTTCCCTTTTTGTTCCACTGATGAGAATGTACTGAGTCAGATTGCTTTGTAGGTATTGTAAGAGATTCATTTTTTAACTTTTTATTTTCAAAAATTTCAAACTTTAGAAGAATTGAAAGGATAGTATAATGAACACCATACGTACACACACGCACAAGTTGCAGTCCATGTGACATTTCACTTCTAATTCTTCAGCATGGAAGAGGTGTGTTTGTAATCATTTTGTAAAGTCACACACGCCTGTATTTTCTGTTCCTGTCCCGGTCCAACCTCTTTAACCTTCTGTCACTAGGTCATATCTATATATATCTGATAGTATATTTTTCATGAAAAACATCAGTGGTTTTCCCTCAATATAAGGTATTGCTTTATAGAATTTAGAGTTAAACCTAGTTTAGGTTCATTCTTCTCCAAACGTCAATTTGTTTTCTCTAAATTTGGAGTGGCTGGACAAGCATGGCATTCTGTGCGTTCATAGCATGACACCCTGGCTGAGTTGCGCAGTACGTGTTGGAATAAATAAATGAAATCTTCCTGTATTATCCTTCTAGACTCTACTACCTGCAGTTGAGCTCATTCACAAAACATTTCCTCTTGCCTTCTATATCCAAGGCACTGTGTTAGAGAGAAAAATGTCCATCACCAAAGAACTAGAATATATACATATATATGTCTTTTTCCCCAATTGACGACAATTTTATCAATATGTAAATATAAAATATAACTTTGATACAAGAAATGATATGTCATAAATGAGTTAACATGACATGAGCAGGTCAAGCTAAGAGAGATTCTCTCTGGAGATGAAAGAACATGTCATGGAAGAAATGACATTTGGGCGTATCTCTTTCTTATTTCAGATTTTTGTAAGTGAAGAAGCATCTGTTAGGTAGAAGGAATTATAAGTCAAGGTATAGAAACCAGAAATGTCTAGGATATTTCTACCCCTCCCCCCCACAACACCCCTTTTTAGCTTCTATTAACTGTTTTTTTCAAATAAGATTTTTAGTTTAACGGTTTTTGCCTCTTGCATGTTAAGAGTGATAGAAGATCACTTCAGATCATCAGATTGTGTCCATTGTAGCTATTGCTGGATTCTTGTATTTAAGAAACATTTATTGTCTACTATTTTCAGAGCTAGATAGAGTGTGCTTCCAAAAATATATTTTTGGATACATGTGTATGAATGGTCATGCACTTATATATGCCTGATTGCTTAAAATGTTTTCAAAATAGTACCAGGTAACTGAAAGTGTTACTGTGGAGTTCAGCCTTAACAGTTTGGTGTTTTCTCCTTTGGTTCATTTCCTTCCTCTCTCTCACCCCTCTCTCCCTCTACAAGAGGATAAACTACCTGTAAGTTGTAATGTGTGCTCACATGCACAGACAGAAATATCCAAAATTAACCATACACCTAAGAACATATATTTTTGGATGCGTTTGACTTAAATCCAAATCTATTAATGATTTGATTAAGAGGAGGGAAAGTATCTTTGGAAACTAATTATGAGGCTTTTAAACAAACATGAGTAAAATGAAAACTTGAAATTCTTACTTGACAGCTTATAGTGAGGCCATTAAGTTATTTAAGATAGTTATTGGTGAACTAGCCTTATTTTTCCATTTCACCTCTAAAAATTTCTTGGGAGGCATCTTATATCTACTTTTGGCCTGGTAAGTTAGTGGCCAAAACTCTAAAATCTTTAGGTGAAATGTAGAGGAGCCACAATGGTACTTTTGTAACAGGACCTCTAGTTTGGTGTTCCCATCCTTTGAGGTCTAATGCTTTCAATATCTGGAGTGATGAAATGATAGCAAAGAAAGGTGGGAGACTAAAATATGGTGTAAATTGAATAAAATAGAGCATTTGACTTTGTTAATAATACCTTTATGTTTCTTAAGTCATTTAGCTTTTTGAAAGTAAAGTTCTTTAATCAAGAAAAAAAGTTTGTTCTGGGGAAACTCTCTTTATAAATTATTTTGGTTGATTCCTTAACTATTTTGGCTAAAGTATTAAATGTCTTGCTATACTCGTTTCATGCAAATAGTTTTTAGAATAGTTACATAAGATCATCTTCAAAAAGTTAATGGGGAAGTCTTATTTTAAATAATAAATGGAAAAAGTAATTGTTATTTTACATACTTTTGAAACCAATTTTTCCTTTAAATCTAAATGTCACAAATACTGATAGCACCTTGTTTTTCTTCAAAAAAAGTATTGAGAAACAGGGTCCTTCAATTATCAGGCACTTAAACTGGGTTAGTTAGCAGTAGTGTATTTAGTTTTCTAATGTAAATTAAAATTTGACAATGATTTTAAAAGTTTCTATAAATAACAAGTAAAAATAATTTTCTTATTCCTTTACTCTCATTTTGCTGATTTTTTAACTTTTAATTTTTTGTTTTTTGTCCATACTTTTCAGAGTAATCTTATTTACTTTAATGATCATTAGTAAGTAGTTCAGCCATGGTAACCATTAAAAAATTTTTTTTTCTTAATTTTTCAATTACAGTTGGCATTCAATATTATATTAGTTTCAGGTGTAAAGCATAGTGGTTAGACATTTATATAACTTACAAATTGATCCCCCTGATAAATTTAGTACCCACCTGGCACATGGTAACCATTTAAGGACTCATTCTTCTGTGCATTTAATATATCTCTTATGTGCTTAATTATAATCCACAGAATGATTTTTACTCCTTTTTCATCTCAACTAGTTATTTCCCATTTTGTGCTTATACATGTGCACACGAACACACACATATACACATGTATTTAATTAAATTTCTTCTATTTAGCTTTTTGGGGTTAATCCTATGGAACTTTGTACTGCTTTAAACTAATTATCCTCCTCAAATTGTTGTTTTTATATTGTGCTTCATGTATAAGAATTCTCTGCCTATAACTTAATTGGACCAACCTGGTCATAGCTGTGACTACCATATTATTTTTTGTTCCTTTTTGTTGTCCATATTTATATGCTACAAGGGTAGGTTGTCCTAGTTAACCTCATTTATTTTCCCCTTGTTTATTATGATACTGTTGTGGTTAAAATTGTTTTGTTATATATACCTTGTATATTTTTACTTGAAGTTTATTTTTATTCTAATTAACCGAACACCTCCCCATTTGTCAGCTCCCTCTCAGATATTTATTTCCTTTTTTCCTCCCCTTTTTCAAATGAATTCCATTGTTTGACTTTTTTTCATCTTTTATTTAGGATAATAGCATTAATATTGATACCAGAGAGCACCAAGTTCAGTGTCCCATACCCATTCTTTGTTAAAGTACTTCCTGTGATGTTTACTATATCACAATCTAGTCTTACCATCTTTGTATAGCTCATTTTTTATAAGACAATTAAAACCTTTTTCTGTAACATCTGTGTAATGGTAGTTATGTGTTTTAGGTCCATAAAGATACTTAGTTTTTTATGTTGTAACCCTTTTATATATTTGAAGAGTCCCATCATAATCTTGTTTTTTTGTTTTTTTTTCCCTTTTCCAGGTTTAAATATATTTAGTTCCTTCAGCTGTTCCTTATATTTGGCATGGTTGTCAGGCCTTTTGCTTTCCTACATTTTTTTTCTGTTCCTTTCAAGTTGTGGTGCCAGAAATGAACTTTTATTTTGTTAGTGGCCCTTATTGAGACTGTAGACAACTGAAACCTAAGCCATTCTCATGTATTTTGCTATGAAACAAAATGCTCTTCAGCCTGTACTTTTTTGGGGTGCAATTGTTTGTGTGCAGTTAATGCATTAACAAATAAAGTCTGGGCATGCTAAATTTCATCTAATTAACTTTGGCTTATTCCCTTCCATAGAGGTTTAAAATCTAATTTAGTGATCCTATATAGTAGCAGCAGATAAGAACAGCTTTGTTTTATCTGCAAATGGAAGTATACTTTATGTGTTTTGTAGTAATCATTAATAATTGTGTTGAGCAGCATAAGTCCCCCCCCATAGAAACCTCTAGACACTTCAACCATTTATGCATTGTTTACTGTTATTCAACCAGTTGTCATTCTCCCACCTTGTCTTCCTTTCCACCTGAGGATTTCCTGGAACACTTGGTCAGGTACTTTATCAAGTTACAAAGTGTTTCCTCTATCAGAAGGACATGAAAATGTCCTTGCTTTGTTTTTCCACATTAAGAGCTTTGTGGCTCCTGATGGTTATGTAAGTGCTTATAACCTGCTTTATGTTAATTCATTCTAATGCCAGATGTACCAGTTATGCTCATATATGAATTATGCTGTGTTGATATTTTGGTTGCATTTTAAAAATATCATTATTATGAAGATCTGGAAGTTTATTGTTTTTGTTGGTTTTTGTTTTTAGCCCTCTCTGACTTTGGGCCCAGCCTCCCCTTGTTTTCTTGATATCAACAACCATTATTAAAAATAGCAGATATTTTAAAGAAATACTATTATTTATCAGCATTTATTCCATTTTGAAAGCACATCTAAAATAACTGAAAATGTACAAATAAAATGTATAAATAAATTTGGAAGTCCACATGAATTTTTGGATTATAGCTGAAATCCCAATATAATTTGGAAGCTTAATTCTGCCTTTAGAAAGAAGCTTTTTCTATGCAGGTTTTAGATGGTAATAGGAATATGGAAATAAAGCTTCATCATTAGATCATGCATATCAGGCAGTAGGAAGGGAGGATAAACCCAGTCTCTTAGCAGCTGAAAGTCACTGTATTTATGATCAAAATTCATACAGTCTTTCATTCAACACCAGTATATTTCACATAAATGGTTTGCCAAGCAAGAGAAGTCCAACCTTTGCCTTCTGAGTTTATGACCTAGTGATGGAGACAAGTTATATTACACAGGAATAGACATTTTAGGTAATATCTGAAAGGCGGGTAGATGTTGGTGGAAGGATGCAAGTGGAGAAGGGTTATGAGCTGTCTCTTGTGGAGTACATGATGAGCTGTGTCATGTGGAGTTCCTGAAATGTACTTTAGTATTTTCCTGGAAGACCTTGGACTGTTAACTGATCCAGGCTATTAATGTGCTGTGGAATTAGACTCTACAATATATCCTTTTTGTTTACTCATAAGAGAGCTTTGGCTGTGAGTTAGCTGGGTGAATCCTAGGAGTACAGCTATAGCTTTCCTGGCATCTGAATAATTGCGGTTCTAAAACAGTAATCAGTTAATGACATTTCCATATGTGTAGGTATTTATAGTATCCTTGTTGTAGGACTTGGTATCACACATTCATAACATGTACAGGTGACGTCATGTTTTATTTGTAGTTTTGAAAGTGGGCCCATGTGGTTTTAGGTGATGTGTTACAGGAGAGTTCTATTCAGAAGTACACTTCCAAGTATTCATGGTGAATACGCCTTTACTTCAACTCATTGCATCATTAGCCGCCTAAAGATGATTATCTGGGGGAAATGGAAGTGGTACAAAGCCTTTTCTGCCCCTCTTTCTGGTTGTTTTTTTACGTCATTTTTTTGGGTATCTTTATTACAAGAACATTTTCATGTGTCCCCTCCATTTTCTGTTTCATACCTTTTTGAATAAATCTGTAGATCTCTAGGAAATCATGTTCTTCCTAACCAAGAGCCCCAAATTTGTATACCATCATCCATAATCCAGAAAAATAAGTTATTTTCTTAGCATCTGTGTAAACACCACATCTTCTTTTGTTCACATCTTAATTTCTCTTTCAAAGCTTTAAAGGAAAAATGAATGTACTATCTGTATGACTTTTTTTGCTCATTGATAAGGCTTTCACTCACAAGTATCTGTTTTGTTCCTATATGTCAGGCACTGTACCAAGAATTTAATAGTTTGTAATACATCGCCCCTAATTTTATCATCCCTAATGATTTTTTTTTCTAGCAGTGTTCTTTATTCCTACATGGGTTATCAATAATAACAATTATTATTGAAGGAGTCTGGTTATGTTCATCATTGCTTTCATCAAGAAAATACATTAGGAAGAAAGCATATTTCTGATAGATCGTATCAGATTTACAGCTATTCAAAGAGTCATCAAATATTGTTGATATTGATATTTATATTAGCTATTATTTCAGAGTCACCAAATATTGTTAAATTCTTATAGAACTTCTACATGTTTGTTGGAACATTAACCTGCTTCTCTAGCTTTGGTATCACCTGCATAGGAAGAACTTTATACCTGGTCTGTGGAGCAAGTATTTGAAATTCCTCTTCATTCCCATTTGTTCTTTCACTCACCAATATATGGACTTGGAATTTGATTTCCATACTGCCACATTCAGAATCCTTCTTTCCTGCTTTCTTTCCTTCATCCTAATTTGGAACTCATTTTCTTTAGCAAGTCACAACAAAGGCAGAAATGTGTTGAGCCTTTTTGCCCTGCTCTCAAGCAGGGAGTCAGTGGTGCTTACTAAGATCATATATGAGATGAATTTGAGGTAATAGCTAAGGAGTAGCAGCATCTTGTGAGTTAGAAATATAGAAGCGTGAATGAAAGAGGCAGATTGGAGAGACCTATGTATTCATAGTGTTGGTGGGAGCCACATAAGAATAGCAGAGCAAAAAGGACTGAGGTTAGGAGGAGCACTCACTCACATTTCAAGAATCATAACCGACAAAGAAGAAAGAGAAAGGTGTAGATAGGAAGTATAAACACAGAAATACAAAGGCATGAAACCAAGTGGCAAAATATTCAGAAAACCTTGTTTAGAAATCATTAAAATGCTGTAGTAGAGAACTAGAAGACTGGTTTTATTGGGTTGTCGGAACAGTCGTGACGCATTTTTGCAACGAAAAACAGAAAAAGCACATCATGACTTTTCTGACAACCCAATAATATAAACAGATCATTGGAAACTGTGGGATAAAGAGATTAAGCACAGTGGGGCTATTATCTTTTGTGTTAAAAAGTGCTCTAAAACTTCGTGAATTAAAACAACCACTTGATTTGTTTATGATTCTGCAGGTTCAGCCTGGTAGTTTTACTCGTCTGTTAGGATATTATTGAAAGGCCCAGGGTTGTTTAGGGCAGCATGGATAGGAATCTGTAGTTCAGTGGGGTAATTCCTACAGTGTCTCTGAAATTTGGGAATCAAAATCAATCAACACAGCACCCAGTTGTGTGTTAGTAAACTGAGTCCTCGGAAGGGAAAAACACCCGATTTGTGATATTTGCAGATATCCACGAAGTGAATACTACTGCTGTGGCTTGTTTCAGGCTACTGATGTGGGTGGAGTCACTGAACTTAGAGTTTGGAAGAGATGTGGACAGTGCACTCTCATCAGCTAATGTGAGCCGGTCCCAGACTCTAGACGCTCTTGTAAAATATCCCTTTCCTAGCCTCTTGATCTATAAAGAATTTGAGTCAGGTTAACAAAATAAACACTTAATAAAACAAGATTAAGTAAATGAGTGAAGAATTTTATGTAAAAGGGAAAAAAGGACATGAAAGTAAAAGTAAGAATAAAGTTAGTAGTATGCAAAATAAGTACCTATGATGAAGCTATCAGCAGTTGCTGTAGGTGAACTAAAGATTTGCCTAAAACAAAGAAAAAAAGAGCAATAATAGTGTTCACAGTGTACCTTGGTTAAAAACATACCAGCTGTTCAGGAGTAACAAACATTTCCTGATGACATGTCAGTAAACAGTGGGAGGGTTGCTGCATCTTCAACAACATTCTTATAAAAGTAAGGAGGCAACATTTATGTAACATTTCACTTTTTTTTTTTTTTAGCTGAGTCATCCTGCCATCTGTTGGCAGCTCAGCGGCTGCTCAGCTAGGGCCGGGCATCGAACCGCTGTTGCTCAGAGCTCAAACGAGTGAGCTCTTAACCAACTGAGCCACTCGGCCAGCCCATCTTCACTTTTTTTTTTTAAAGATTTTTATTGGGGAATTGGGGGGACGGGAACAGTGCTGGGGAATTGGGGGAAGGGGAACAGAC